ATATAACGGCGCTAAAGTCGACATAAAAGCCTAGTGTAGACCAGGCCTCAGTGTTTCAGGCTGGGGGAAGGGGCACAGCAGTGGCCACTCCCCTGGGGCTGCCAGCAGTGATTGGGTCCTGGCTGTCTGGAGACAGAAAAGCTGGAGGAGCAGACAGCCCGTGTGTGTTCCCCACCTTCCCAGGTGAGGTGGGGTTGGGCTTCAGCCCTGGGGTGGTGGGTGCAGGCTCCACCCATGGGGCTTTGGGCTCCATCCCCATCCCCTGGGCAAAGGGCTTTGGGCTCCATTCCCTGGCTGTGCGGTGACGGGCTCTGGCCCCGAGCTCACCCTTCCCAATTAGCCCTGGCCCGTGCTGCCTCCCCCAGTGCCCCATCGCCCTGGTGCCTCTGTAACCACTTCCCCATACAGGGCTTAATTTGTCCCTGGGCTTGCTGGGACTGAGTAAGTGTGCTGTGAAAAGTGATATTTGTATGTTTGTTATTATCAGTTTCCACAGCAGACTACTAGCTAACAAGTCTTAAAAAAAGAAAAGCAACCCACCGCCCAAAAAGGCAAAAGAAACAATAAGAAAAAAGACAAGAACATGAGAATGTGCAAAGCACCTTATTTGTGTTTTTATTCTGTTTAGATCCAGTAAGGAATAGAGACAACTGTATGTTATTTTTATTATTGAGTCTGCAAAAAACCCTACATAAATAAATTACAATGCTTTGGACATGGATATGTGCATATTTATTTGATTTTCCTGAAGTTAATTAAGTATTTTAGGAAAAATTGTCAGAGCAGCCACCAGCAAGAGTTGGTGGCCACACTCTGAGGCCACCAACATTTTTTTTTTGGTGAGAACCCCTGGTTTAAAGGATTTGGGACCTGGATAACTCAGTATGTTATCAGCTGTTTAGCAATGTGTACTTTCGTTAGGCAGTGAGAAAGCTAAGTCTGCACATGTTTGTCATGCTAGTCCATCTGTTATATCAAAAAACTGTCGGAGCTTATGCCAGAACAGATGCCTGATTTACATCTTTCTCTTACTGTATTGACCATTTCTGTTTCAAGTATTATTTTAACATAATATATCCAATTATCTTTGATATATGATAATTTTTAATGTAGCATGTTTTAAAAAGAGAATAAACTTGCCTTCATGTAAACAACTTAAAGCTTGGTAAATGTGCACAGTGCTTAACAAATTTATGCCCCAATCCCACAAACCGCTAAGCATGTGCTTAACTTTATGCACCATGGGCTTGTACCAAGCATAGCTCAGGTACAGTGAAGAGGCATGATTCTGAGGGAGCTGCTCATAGTTCCCTGGTTCTGGTGCCTGGCTCACGTGCAAGTTGGGGCCAGCCTTAACTTACTCCACTGACATGAGGTTCCTTAAGCCTAGTCTACACTAGAAATTTGTACTGCTTTAACTATACCAGTATAGTTACAGTGGCATGATCCCACTAGTGTGGACACAGTTATATCCGTATAAAGGTGCTCTTCACCAATATAACTGCATCTATACTAATGCATGTATCAGTGTAGTATATCGATTAAAAAAATCACAGTAGACCAGGCTTAAACAACCTTTTGCCAGTGGAATATTGGACACAGTGGAGCCTCACTTCACCATCGCTGGCCTGTCCCTTGCAGGACTCTGACATACCCCTTCTTGCTGTTACAGACGCTCCCCGGGTTACGCAAACCTGACTTACGCAAACCCGCACTTACGGAAAAAGTTCCACAAGTGGGGTTTTTTTGTTTTTGTTTTTGGTTTTTTTTCTGTAATTGTTGGGTATACGTCCCCGACTTACGCAAAATTCGATTTACGCAAGGCGTTCCGGAACGGAACGCTTGCATAAGTCGGGGAGCGTCTGTATTCCAAATGGGGGAAGGGTTCTAGTGTTCCACTGCCTCCACCATCTTTAAGATGGTGGAGATTCTCCTTACATGGGGGATAGTCTCTGGTGACCATCTCAGTTTCCTTCAAGCGGCATGAAATTAGCTTGGTGACCAGGGAATCTGCCCCTTTTAGTAGTCCCCTAGTGGGACTACTCAGTGCATAAAATTGAACATGTGTATAAGTCTTCGGAGGGTTGGGGCCATAGTTTTCACAGTTAAAATCACACATGAAATGCAATAATATTAAAGTCTGCAGCATTGCACATCCACATCCTTTATGTTTGTTATACATTTAACAACATGGGTGAAATCTTGGCTCCATTAAGGACAATAGGAATTTTGTGTTTGACTTCAGTGAAGCCAAGATTTCAGCTGTAGGCCCCAGTCCCACCCTTAAATTTGCTAGCACAGACTCCAGTGCCTGTGCAGAGCCCCGTTGACTCCTACAGGATGTAATGGCAGAATGGAGTCATGTCCGGTAACCTACTAAATGACGCATTCATTAAGGAAAACAAGAATAGAATATACATATGGGTAATGTAGCAGAGTTAATAGTTTAGGAACCTCACCTCTTTCATTTCTTGACTTTTGGTGCCTTTAGCACTTTTTTGGATTTTTATGTATTTTCTTTTTTAGAAGATAGAGAGTCCCACATAATATACTACTTGAAGTTTTATTAATGTGTAGTCCTTTAACAGTGCTGTTAATACTCATTCACTTCAAAGAATACAGCCTTAAAAGTGAAACTATTCCTCTACCTCTCAAAAGTTAACCAGGGATTATCGTGGGGATTCACTTTCCATTTGTTAAAAGAATTAGAGATGGTTTAGGAACAACTTCTCAACTAAGAGAGAACGTCCAAGAGGTGCTCTGGACCTGCTCTCTAATTGCCTATTTCAAATTTTCCAGTCTTTGGCCTAATACATTTTGGGACATAACCTAGAATCTATTCCATATCTGTTCCAGAATCCTTTGCACAGTTTTGATTTGTCCAAAAATATCTCTTTCCCTCTCCCCAAAATATTTAAATTCATTGTACTATATAGCCAAAGTACGTATTTATGTTATGTCGATAGTTTAAAAAATATCCAAGTCTACATTTTTATTGCAGATATCATGAATTGTGCATTCCCCAGTGTTATATATTCAATAAGCCTGCCTACTGCAGCTGTTAATATTTGGAAGGATATCTGACTACAGAAGCACCAAAAACATAATTTCTGTTGTAAGTGAAGGCTTTGGGTCTGTAGAAATTTTTGCAAAGCCACAGGTAACAGCTTGGGCACAATCCCTAAGTTGAGAACTTCTGATCTATTTTGTGAAACAGTCAAAGTCATTAATAAATATTGTTTTTGACCTAGAATAGCCACTCTAAACTGTCCACAAAAACTTGTGCAGAAGAAATCCTTGACAGCACAACCAAGCACCATGGCAAGGCTGGACTTGGTTTCTGATGCTCTCTGTTTCAGAACTTTTTGCTTTGGTTATTTTGTTTCTGATTATGCATAAATCTACCTAATTTTTTTTCTAATTTGTTTATTTGTTTGTTTATGTTTAGGGCTGATTACTGGAAATCACAGCCAAAGAAATTCTGTGGTTACTGCAAGTGCTGGATAGCAGACAACAAGCCAGTATGTTGGTCTAGTTAGTGTAATATTACTGATTCTGAAGTACTAGAATTTGAATTATATGCTTTTAAAATATTTTTTTAGTATTGTTTACTGACATGTAAACTAATGTTTACGTAGTGTTTGTTTGTTTTAAATATGCCTTTGTAAGCCATGTGAGCTATAAAACTAGGGAAAAAAAGACTTGCAAATTAAGACCTGGATCCTGCATTAAGAATCTCCTGTACTCCATGGACCTCAATCCAAGACTGGAGCCCTAGGGCTTGATCCTACATTCCTTATTCATGTGTAAAAGGTCTGGAGAATCAAGTTCCATTTTCTCAGGCTCCATAATTTGAATTTTGCTCCACCTTGAAGCAAGGTTGGCCATTTCCCGGGAAAAACTAGCCTGGACAGGGCACTGGTAAATACCGGTGTAAACCCAGTGTAACTGGGAAAAATAAAATTATTCTTAGAATATACTAATGAAAATTACTGAAAAATATTTACCAATATGATAATAGTTTTGCAGTATATATAATATATATATATATAATACTGAAAACTGAAATATGAGTCGTGACATGTATAATTTCCTTGAGAAAATACTGAACCAAAATGTATACAGACATTCCAAAGTTCAGTATTATATTACATATATTAGTATTACCCCTACTGCAGTTTTACTTTTTATTTGTACAACCCTAAATTAATCTCCAAATCTACTTCCTTATTGAATTTGATCATTTGAATATGTAACTAAAATGAAGTGTGATGTGGTGTGCCTCAATGAAACAGTTTTTAAAACAGAAAAGGTCTTGAACTGGGACTAACTAGTTTTTCTTGGTGCAGTAAAAACCATGATTTTACCTAGTAAAAACCACCCAGGTAAATACCATGCCCATCATTGTCTTGAAGCTTTGCCTCTGTGCAGATCTTCTAAAGTCTACAGGACCTGTTGTGGACCTTAGAATGTCAACAGAATCCACAAGAGCACAGTACTGTTGCCTCCCTCCTGCAGGCCTTCTAAAGTTTGTGCTCTAAGCACTTAAGACCAAATTATCACTTTGAGCATGCACCATTTGCCATGTTGGTACGCCAGGCCTCCAGAAGTACTTTTGAGCCTTGTTTGTCGGCAAGTACACTAGCACCTGGATTAGGAGGTGATTCCTACAACCCCAAGAGCTCCTAAACTCCCCACGGCTTTTGCACCACACCTCCCTCAGTGCTCCTGCAGGACTCCTAAGCTCTTCAGGCTTCTGTTTCCCCTATTCTATCTGGCAGCCTTTTTGGTTTAGAGGCTCTCCAATTGTCTTCCTAAATTATCCGCATCCTACTCCCAGTCCGCCTGATCTCCTAGGTTACATACCTTGATTTCTGCTCCCAATCTCAGATTTGCTTAACTGCAAAGTTTTTAAAATCCTCAAGAGCTCGGTGGATCTTAATATGATCTTCATGAGGCTCATAAGTTCCTACTGATCCACTGAGGTCTATGGCAGGGGTCGGCAACCTCTGGCACGCGTCTCGCCAGGGTAAGCACCTGGGCGGTCCGGGTCAGTTTGTTTACCTGCCACGTCGGCCGGTTCGGCCGATCGTGGCTCCCACTGGCCGCGGTTCGCCGTCCCAGGCCAATGGGTACGGCGGGAAGCCTTGGCCAGCACATCCCTCGGCCCGCGCCACTTCCTGCAGCCCCCATTGGCCTGGGAGCCAGTGGGAGCCGCAATCGGCCGAACCTGCCGACGCAGCAGGTAAACAAACTGGCCCGGCCCACCAGGGTGCTTACCCTGGCAAGCCGCGTGCCAGAGGTTGCCGACCCCTGGTCTATGGTAAGTCTTATAGACTTGGAAGGTAAAGGGGAGTGGAAATTGAGATATGAATCCTGGGGGCATAGAAGGGAGCTAGAGAACCGTGGACCATGCAAAACTCCCAAACCAAACAGGGGTCCCTGCTCTTTAATTTGTTTAATATATATTTTTTTTAATTAAAACCCCATACAAACCATCTGATGTCACTGAGACCCAGTCAATATAAAACTTCACCATGCCATTTTTCAGAATATAACTGCACTTCCATTCTTTCTACTGCTGGGTTTCTTTTATGTTTAAACTTTACTTTGTATTTCCTAAGTTTCTAATGGTTGGATTTTTTCATAACAATTTTTACCTACATTGGGTACATTCAGTCTTAACTCCAGCTTAACTAAGTTTTTCTTCTTGTCTGGGTATATATTTGTAGTTTACCAAAGGAAATTAATTTCCTGCAAATTGTTTTTTCATTGTATTTTAATTTACTTTTTTTCTCTTTAAGAGCATTGAATTTCATGAAAGGGGAAAGAACCATAAGGAAAATGTGGCAAAGAAAATTAGTGAGGTAAATTGAATTTTTCCTTTTTTCTCTAAACATTTAACTTTTTATCTCTTTTACTTATGACTTTGGTCTATTTCTTCTCCCCACCCCCCACCCCTTTTTTGTTTACATTGTAGATTAAAAAGAAAAGTATGGAAAAGGCAAAAGAAGAAGAAAAAATGTCAAAGGAATTTGCAGCAATGGAGGAAGCTGCACTGAAAGCATATCAAGAGGATCTGAAAAGGCTTGGAGTTAAGTCAGGTAGTTCCTGTAGCTGCCAGAAAAGGCTTAAAGGCAGCAATAGAGATAATATTGAACAGGATTTTCTTTTGTATTAGTTTTGCAGAAACTCCAGAATTGTGTTTACATTGGCAAAAATGGGACATATAATTTGCCATAGTGGAAGCTGTGAAGTTGTGTAAGCAGGGTTTTTAACCGTCATGTCTTCTAACCCTCAGGACACTTCAGGTGGTAGAAAAAGTGCCTAAGCACTACCTACTGTACAGTTTCTATTGTTACAGTTACTGGTGGAGCTGCACCAGTCATTAATTATGGTTCCCAATTCTCCCAATGGAGACAAGTGCATAGCTAATAGTTGAGCTTGCATCCATCACTTAACTGAGTCCTTTTTTCTTCTTTTAATCTCCTTCCATTTTAAAGTTGAGCAGGTGCTTTTGTTCTGTTACCATGAGGGTAAACCACCATTTTTTTAATTAGTCCTGTTAGTTTGAACCCTCCATGGAGACTGTCTCCTCCATAACTCTTCTGGTTTCTAGCTTCTGTTGACTCCATGCTCAATAGCCCTGAGGTAATCCTTGAATTTAGATTTTTCAGCTTGTTTCTCCTGGTGATTCTCAGACTGATTCATAATAGTATAGTGTTATACTAGAAAAGCTTTTGATATCTCGGCTCTCTGTGAGCTGAGGGGTGAAAACATTATCTACTATTATGAAAGAAGAAACTACTTTGGACTAAGTTGATATTTGCTGTTGCCTGTATGAGGAATGCCCAATAAGTAAATTCTGATTATAACTCTGAAAAATATGGGTGTTATTTTCTTTAAGATTCTATAGGTCCCAGTTCAACACAAAGTAAACAGGAGGAAAAGAAAGAAAAAAAGGAAAAGAAAAAAAAGAGAAAAGACACCTCAGAAGCGCCATCAGATGAAACAAAGGAATGGGTGCAAGGACTTTCCCCTGAGGGTTACATGTATTACTACAATACTGTAACCGGAGGTAAATAATGGCAAGGAACAAATATTGATCTAATTATTCCCTCTGAACAAAGCAGGGCGCCATACACTTTGCTAGCCTTCCACTATCTGTGTTGATAGGTTGATTATTAGTGTGTGGACAATTATATATTATAAATTCATGACTTTTATAATTATGTGAGAGTGCCCAGAGCTTAAGATTTTTATTAATC